GTTTTGTAGAACACCAGGAGACCACCGAGTCAATCTGTAGAATCCAGTGATCGGAGTCCAGATGTATATCCAGAACAGAGAAGAACAGATCAAAAAAAATCAATAGGTCCTCTGGACGGGTTCTTCTTTAGTGAAATGTTTCGACTCTCCTCCAAGAGACTTCTTCAGTCTGATGAGTTTCAGGTGAACTCAGCCTTATAAGCACTGCCTTCACATGGGGGACAAACAGGTTAGTCACATGCAAAAGAGGGCCATCGCCTAACAATAGGACAGTAAGGACGTTGAACCCCGCTTGCACTCACTACATACACATAACAAAACACCAAAGAGCCACAGCTGAAGAGCGTTTTCTATCTTTAAACTGTGAAAGTTTCGTTGAAATGTGTTCAGTCGGTATTGAAATATTTTGAAGATCTGTTTCAACACCACCAAATTGTAGCTCAGTTTTTGTAAAATGTACCTGAGTCAATCCTAACTGGGTTTGAKCAAGAAGCTGATCACCGTTTCATCACAGGACCTTTGGTTGATGTTGTTTTTTCAGATCTTCTTGTATGTTTGAACTGATTTAACATCAATGGTAAAAAGGCCTTGTKAGTGCAGACATTTCTCCACTCTATTTTCTTTTCTCTCATTATTCTCATTTTTTCCCCAGGAGGTGTTAAAGTGGTAATTTGTGTGTTTGTTTATTTCATCACTCATCAAAACCACTAAAATCTGTCAGAAATAATTAATTCAGTTTGCATTGTTGTTTTGTCAGTTTTGTGTTGAGTGTTTTTTTGGGGGGGAAATGCTGCTCATGAATTTTAATTAGGCCGCACAGTTAATCTACTGCATAAGGTTTTGATGGCATTTTGTTTTTGTTTTTTGGTCAAACTACACACTAAACAGCCAGAAACAAGAAGCCGTTTGATGCTTACACCCTGCAGACCCTCTGAAATGAATTTGAAATGTGTTCTTGGTATCTTCACAGTGCAGTGTCTGGAAATGACCACCAAACGGAAGCTGATTGGCCGGCTGGTGCCGTGCCGTTGTTTCCGTGGTGAGGAGGAAGTGATCTCAGTGTTGGACTACTCCCACTGCAGCCTTCAGCAGGTCCCCAAGGAAATCTTCAGCTTCGAGAGAACCCTGGAGGAGCTCTATCTAGACGCCAACCAGATAGAGGAACTACCTAAGGTAGCTCTGATGCACATGTTCAACACCTCGGGGCCCCGTTTGATCTTATCTTAACACTTTTGTTCTACGAGTCCCACTTGAATTCATGTTATCACTGAACATTTATGTTACGCAGTTGGAATATCCCCTGGGATCAATCCCTGCTTTTCAGAAACACTCAGGRTTTAACACGTTCACAACTGACAGCTTCTCAGTTAAACAGGACTCCAACAGAGCATACAACAACACAACTGCCAAATTAAGACAGTGAACATGTTCGTTTTCTTAAAGGCATCCCTGATTAGTTGTAACATTAGACTTTATTTAATAAACATATATTTTAACTGTAAAATAAAGACTGTAAAAATACTGTAGGATGCTTAGTGGAAGAAGAACCTCAGCTTAGCC